TTTATGCTTGCGTCAGTCCGTCTCCTCTTTGGATGTTAGACTCGGGTGCAAATAGTCACATAACAAGTGAGGTCCATCACTTCACCATTTTTGATGAGCAGTTACATATACAGATTTAGCTAACAGATGGAATACATGCCCCTATTGTTAGTAGGGGTACAAGTCGCCTCCCAGATGGCTTTATATTACGTTCGATTTTTCATGCATCAAAGTTGGCCATGAATCTATTATTTGTACATTAGTTAGACAGAGATTTTCACTATACGGTTGTGTTCTTATCTGATTCGTGTTATTTGCAAGAACTGAGTACTAAAAAGATTATTATCAGGGGACATGAGAGAGATAGACTGTATTATCTAGGCAATCTATCTCTAGTTTCACCAATTCCTCCACCTACATCACCTGCACCTACTTTGTCTTTATCTGTTCCTAGTTTGCATGCTAGTATTTCATCTAGTAGTTGTTATGATTTTTCGTCACAAACTGTTCAATTGTGGCATGACCATTTTATGCATACAAATTTTAAATATTTATGTTTCCTATTTTGAACAATGCTTGTATTGGTGGTAAACTTGACGGTATTATATGTTCTCTATCGAAACATGTTAGGACCAGTTATATTCCAGTCACCCAAGCCATTTGACCTAATATACTCTGATATTTGGGGACCCTCTCTTGTTACTGCTATGTTAGGTACTCGATACAATATAACATTTATAGATGATCATACCCGTTATACTTGGGTCTACCTTTTGCATAGGAAGTCTGATGTACTCTCTATCATCACTCAATTTCTCCAGATGATTAAGAAACAATTTGATTTCATTGTTCGTACTCTTCATTCAGATAATGTCAAAGAATATGTGTTTGATGCCTTAGTGTCTCACCTTTCTTCTTAGAGTATCCTTCAGCAACTCACTTGTATATATACTCTGGAGCAAAATGAAGTTGCTGAAAGGAAAAATAAGAGTCTTATAAAGATGGTACGTTGTATGCTTAGAGATATGGGGGTACTAAAATCTTATTGGCATTTGGTTGTTTTGACTTCTACCTTTTTGTGCAATTGTACACTAAGTCGTGTTCTTCAACATAGGACTCCCTTGTAGGCCTTATTTCCTAAGTGGGCACTTTTTGCAGTCTCCTCTCATGTTTTTTTTGGGTTGCACATGTTTTGTTCAGGAAATCTCCTACTCGTCATAAGCTTGAAGATAAAGCGATTTGTTGCATCTTTGTGGGCTATTGTCATCAATCTAAGGGGTATCGATGTTATAATCCTTTCAGGCGCTGTATATATCACAGTCTAGATGTTACCTTTTTTGAGCATATTCCTTATTTTTCTTCAGTCTTGTGTCTGCCCTTCTAGTTGATGATACTCCCTTTGATTTTTCTTTACCGCAGGAGTCAGAGCCATCAGTCACTATCACTATAGAGAGTCATCAGTCCCTACTCCTCCAGAGCCACTCGTCCCTATCAGTATAGAGTCACCAATCTCTCTTCCTTTGTAGATTTATATTCATCGCTCTAACTCTCATCCCCCTGTTGACGTCCCCCTTACCTTAGGCGATGCAAGTAATACTTCTCAATTCGTTCAGCCTATTGATGCACCTGTTATTAGTACTGATGAGATTGCAGGTACTGAGCCAGTTACTTTCCCTGATAAGACATTGTCAGTGGATGATGATGATTTAGGGCGTCGTTATTCGCAGCGTGATTGCCGTCTAGTTGTTCATTATGGTTGGACCGCTAGGACTTTATATTTGATCTCTGTTTTTGTTTCTTATAGTGATATATTTCCTCGACTGCGTAAATTTCTTTATGGACTAAAACAGTCACCACAAGTCTGGTTCTCTCAATTTAGTGTAGTTGTACGTTTAGGGTTTACCAGATGTCATTCTGATCAAACATACTTTATGCGATGGAATACTTATTGGCAGTGTGTCATCTTTTTGATATATGTAGATGATTTTATTATTATTGGGGATGATATTTTTGAGATTGCACATGTCAAGGTAGACCTTGGGGCCTTGGATTTCTGCGATACTTTCTTGGAATTGAGGTTGCCCGTAACAGCAAGGGTATTGTTCTTTCTTAGAGAAAGTATGTTTTAGATGTTCTATCGGACACTGGGATGTAGGGGTGTAAACCGGCATCATCACCCATGATTTCAAACCTAATGCTTACTGCTGAAGGTGAGGAGTTGAGTGATCTGAATGTCTATCAAAGGTTGGTAGATAGACTTATCTACCTAGCCAACACTAGGCCAAACATTTCATTCACTGTCACCTGAGTTAGTTAGTTCATGCACAGGCTGTGTTAGCCTCATCTTGATGCAGTTTATCATATTCTTCAATATCTCAAATCTTGTCCTGGATTTGAGTTGTTCTATGCATCAAGATTTTAGACTAATTCTCTAGTCTGTTATTAAGATTCAGATTATGGGGTAGCATGTGACAGTCGATCTAATACGGACTTTTATACTTTGCGAGGGGCTCATCTTATATCTTGAAAGAGCAAAAAGCAGTCAGTTGTCTCTCGCTCGTCAGCAGAGGTAGAGTATTGGGCACTAGCACTTGACACATGTGAGATTATTTGGTTACGATCGATTATTGGCGAGTTGGAATTTTTAGTAATTTCATCTACATTATATTGTGATAATTCATCTTTTATTCAGCTCGCTTGTGACTCTGTACTACACGAGAAGAGGAAGTATATAGAGATCGATGTTCACTTTCTTCGTGTGAAGGTTAACTGTGGTATTGTCACTCCATTGTTTTTGGAGCCAGTGATCAGGTTGCGGATGCTTTTATCAAACTTGTCACTCTATCCATTCTCCGGGACTCCGTTGTCAAGTTTGGCTTAGTTGATATTTTTGCGCCTATCTTGAGGGGGAGTGTTGAAATATAGTCTAGTTTATTAGGGTTTTTTTTTCCCTTTTTTATCCTTACTATAACTTTTATATTTTGCCTAGACCACAAGGACGTTTAGGTCACTTTGTATTATTATTTGGCTATATTTACGGGGCTCTACTTTTAGTTTGAATATCCTTGTGACTCGCACATATTCCTCTTCTAACTAAAACGGCAAAGGTAATATTAGTGTTAGAGAAAGCAAGAGAAATAAGAGACGAAGAAGAAGAGGCGGAGAGAAAATAATTGGTAGTGTGTAGGTTGTATTGCCCTACACCTCCTTATTCATAATAAGCTGATATTGTGGGTAACTACTAACAATATTAAAATAAGAACTCTAACAAGATATATTAGGCTTTTGTTGCAATTTTTTTTTTTTTTTTTTTTGAATATTCTATGACTAGTTTATGAATTTAAAAATTTGCAACTTCATCAAAAGTAGGTAGTTTCTCAAACAAACTCCAAAGTTCGAGGCTATATTTTACAAACAAAGCCAAACCTCAGGTTGGCATTTTTATTTTCCATACTTGAAAGCTAAGAAGCACAGATGTCGTATCCGATACGATACGGACACAGCGATACGGCAAAATTCCAAAATATGGGATACGGGTACAGCGATGATTCGACTAATTAAAATAATTAAATATTTTTTTATATATATAACAACAACATTAATAATAACAAACAACCAAGACATATCAAACATTACTTAAATTGAAATAGATCAATTTTCAAAACCAACAGGCAACAGCACAGATGACAAAAAAAAAACATAGCAGCACAACAAAAAATAGAAAACAGAAGCTAGCTAGGAAAACAAATTTCAATATTTAAAACCAGCAGGCAACAACACAGATAACCAAGATAAAAAAAAAATCCCGAAGGCAGCAAGCAACACAGCACTAGACCAAAAAAAATCCTAAACCTACAAGCAGCAACACAACAAGAAGACAGAGAAAAACAACAGCACAATAACAATAATAAAAAATTCTCAAATTTTGAAAACCCTAACCCAATTAAATGACTATAATTAAATTTTTTGAAAGTCCAGACTCCACACGGACCAGAAGAGGTAAGAGCAGCAGTAGCAGATCCTAAAAAAAAAATTGAAGCAAGAAGAAGAACTTGGAATAGACTAGGCAGTAATCGCAAGTCGCCAAGTCTAGATCCAAGTCGCAGTCGCAGGTTAGCCTCCCTTCCTCTTCCCGCTCTCCTTATTTTTCTCCTCCTCTAGTCCTCTCGAGCTCGTTTCCTCTTCTCTCTCTCTCTCTCTCTCTCTCTCTCTCTCTCTTGTCGAATTGGAGACATTCGCAGATCATTTGCCTTTTGCCTTTAGTTTTTTCTTTTTCAAGCCAAACGATGTAGCTTTTGCCTTTTTTTTTTTTTGGGTTTCGGCCTCCCTAAGTTTTTTAAATAACAAATGTATCCCGCCGTATCTCCACATATTTGAGCCGTATCTGACCAAAAAAAAATCAAAGCCACTGTTCAGGACACTTCTGCAAGTGTCGGACACGATGTCGAATTGGAGACATTCGCAGATCATTTGTCTTTTGCCTTTTTTTTTTTTTTTGGGTTTCGGCCTCCCTAAGTTTTTTAAATAACAAATGTATCCCGCCGTATCCCCACATATTCGAGCCGTATCTGACCAAAAAAAAATCAAAGCCACTGTTTAGGACACTTCTGCAAGTGTCGGACACGTGTCCGACACTACAACGGCGACCCCCGACAAGTATCCGTGCTTCCTAGCTTGAAAGGGACCATATGATGTAGTTAAAACCCTCAAGGGAGATGGATGCAATTATCCATGTGTTAAATGATGTTTTGACAATGTAGAACGGTGTAATTATCCATGTATTGAATGATGTTTTGGTAATGCTTACGAAAGTCTCACAGTTTTATCCTCCCTATGCTGACAGTGGCCATAGTTTGTGCACAATCATGCACTATTGGTGAGCAAAGAGCCATTGTTTGTAAAACTCGTATATTTTTACTGCTTCCACGATATTTTAAAGATGAAAGGCTGTGAAAGAAACCAACATTGCTGTGAGCCCCCCCTCCTGTTTTTTAATGGAACTGTAATGCTATAGCCATTTAATGAGGTGTTTTGTTAGGATACTTCAACTGGGTTTTCGTTTTCCATCTCCTCAGATTGTGCAAAGCGTGAACCCTAACGGTTACCCATTTGTGATCATATATTTCTGTTTCTTTTCATTCTTTTCTCAGAAGCCCACTCATTTTTGGGTTCAGTATATTTGATAAATCATAGATCTTTGGTCTTCTACCGCTGCCTCGTTCTCTTTTACTTTGTTTTCTTGCAATGTCTTTCTTTCCTTCTTCCTTCTATTGTGTCGCGAAGGATAGAACACCATAGGCAATTTGTGGAGTGTAAAGTTCCGCATGAACAAGCATTTGTCACCCATGTGAATGCAACTTTTGGCTACAGAGTTAAGGTTGGTCAACTTGACCATGTTGCTACTGCCATAATGGTGCTGTCATGAAGTCTTCAATTGACCCAAAAACATCCCAGTGGATCCCATCTTTTATTTGTTAGACGGACACTTATATCTTAGATCATTGTTTAATTAAGCTACAATCTTGGAAGCTTATAGTCATTTGAGCTTTGAGACCATGTTGATGCTGAATTTGATTATTCTGATTCCAAACCAATGCAGCATTAGCATGCCCTCTAATTCAGGTGATCTAGAACTACTTGTGGCATAAATAAGTCAGTAGTTTTGTTTCTGAGATGTTTTTTTCATCTCATCAGCGGATAGAAGGATTAGATGATTGTGGTAGCTTGAGCTGAAATGTTATGCCAATAATGAGGTCATTAGATATAACTAATGAAGATCCTTTTATACTGTTGTAACTGTGCAGAAACTATTGGAGGGATAATGATACCGCTCTTTTCATTTTGAAACACTTGTATCGGAATATACCAGAAGAACCCAGCTCACCTGATGAACCCATAGAAGGCAGCTCAAAAAAGGAGAGTGGTTTGGAAGGCTGGTCTCATGAAAGAGACCCCACTGATGAAGAAATCCCTTTAACATTTGCTGAAAGAACCCTTGTAAAAAAATTCTCTAGAAAAACAAAGAGAATTATGAAGGGCTGAATAACACTTTCATCCTTGTTTCTATGCTGTGCAGAATGTAAGTGCAGTTGGTTTTAATTAGGTAATGGTGTATGTTTTTTCAAATTAAGTTATGCTGCCACTAATTAGATTACTCAAGTCCAACTCTTATATACCTATGCTTTTTTTGACAGGCTATTCCCCAAGTAAATGATGTGCTCTGCCCCCACAGGTGTGAGATCCCGTGTTTCATATAGATATAAAAAATTGTTAATATTTTTAAAATGATTAAATTGATGAGAGAAACTTCGAACTGTTATTGTAAGGAATAATAGTGTAGGTCAAATTTAATTTTTGGGGTGCTTAAAATTAATAAGGAAACTAAGTAAATGTATTAATTTTTTTTTAGGACAAAATAACTTTATCATTGAATCTGAGAGGTCAAGAAATCTTGGGATAGACGTTTAACTCATATAACATTTTGTAGGGGTAAAATAGTAATTTTTGTATTTTAGGTGTAAATTGTCTTTGGTTTTGAAATAAATTATAAAAATAATGTTTTTAGGTTAAAACAACATTAAAAATGAATTCGGAATATCGAAAAATCTTGGGGTAGTCATAGGGATCAAATTGAATATGTTTAGGAGTAAAACTGTAATTTTAGAGAAAAAATGCATTTTTTTGACCAGTAAACAATAAAAGAAAGGAATTTCTGGTTATAAAACCACATTTTCAGCCCATTTCACCAATTATTTTTCACCGTTCTCACCTAATACCACTCTTAGAACTTTAGAACAAAATAAAAGGAAAGAGAATTAGGAAGAAGGTCTTTTAAGGCTTGGGCTTTGATTGGGAATTCTGGGAACTTGGTTTGGAATTTTTGATTCTTAGATAGGGTTTTTCTCTCTCTTGTATTTGTGCATCTTATATATTTTCTTTAGCTAAAACTTAATGTGTTTGATGGCAAAATAATTGTTATAAATTTTGATTTAATTGTTGGTATGCCATAAATTATGAATTTATGTGCAGAAAAATGATTTTAATATTATGGGTTTGAAAACCTAGTTTGATTTTGGTTATTGGTATTTAATTAAACCTATGATTTGGGCTTTTGGTGTATGTTATGATCTTGTACATAATGTATATGACTTATTCTCTTGGAAATTGTTTTGTTGCTTTGAAAATACAAAATTTAAGTTTTTAAGCCCCGACTATATGTTTGATAAAATGTCAATGCTATGACATGAATTTTTAAAAGGGTTTATGAATATAACAAATAATAATTTTTGAAAAGTGTTTACACGATGCTGACAAACAGAGGATTAGTAAACGGTTGTGGCTCACTAAGTGGGTTGCCAAGGGGGCTACTAGTCATAGGGGATTAGTTATTCGGTGATGGCCTATGTGGCATCACAAGTTGTGCCTTACACACCTCCCTTGAAAAGTAAGAAGGACGATGAGATCCTAGATTGTAAGATCCAAAAGTTTTTGGGAGATGGTTCATGCTTGAATCGTTGTTTGATTGATTATATTGTTCGTATTTGAGACATCCATGGTATTTGTTATATGATAGTTTGACTTCAAATATATAAAATTTTTATTTATAACTTGTATATTTCAATTGAGTGGAGATTTTCATATATGCTTTACTTATTACCTTGTACCTATACTTGATTATAAAAAAACTTTCATTACTTTTTCTTATGGTTTGTGAAATGTTGCTATTTAAAATTTTGTACATGCTTGAAAAAAGGATTACCTTACTGGATTGTGGTTGCTCATCTTTTATTAATACTTTCAGATACTGGCATGCATCGTGGGGCATAGGTGATGGAATGCTTGTGGGAGCTTAGACTAGAAAGAATCATTTTGGAGTCCTTTTGTATTTATATTTAAAACTTATGTAGAAATGTTAACATACAAACATTGTGTTTGAAAAGATTGTCTTGAGACACTTGTGGTGTACACTTGATCAACCCATAGAGGGATTATTATTTTGGGTATTATAATGTAAAGCTATGACTTTGGATATTAAGTTTATGTATATATTTATATTGGATATATCTGGGTTTGGGAGGACTTTTTGGACCTCTAATTGCCACCCGAATTTATTTGTATTATATTTTGATGAATGCATATTGTAGATATTTAGTTAGTTTGAATTATGTTATGTTCTCATAGGGATAGACTCTTACTAGCTGGTTGGTAGCCGACTCTTCAAATGAAACTTTCCACTAAATGTTTCATTTTCAATTATTATGGTATACTGGCAAACGGATTTTGGGATAAATATTAGTTTTTATTAAATCATGTTTTAATAAAAATTGGAGTGTAGCAACAGGTATTTGGGATACAAAAATTGCAAATTAGAAATAAAGATAAACAGAAAAATAAGTAGAGTCACACTAGGCCAAGTATGTGCTATATATTGCTAGTTCTAAATTATATGAATAGTTTGTAGCAATTATATAACGATAGATAAATCATATTGTACCATAGCAATAAGCATCGACAGAAAAAGTAGATGATAATCACATAACATTCACTGATAATTATAAGTGACGAGCCTTGCTTCTCTTTGATGGCCCCGGGGAGTGGGTTGCTGTTGGTTGTGTCAAGCAAGAAAAATTGTGAAGAAGCATAACTAACTGTCCTCCTGCATATGAAAATAACAAAAGTTATTCGAGAACAAGATTTGTTAGCGGAGTTTATACTTCTTGCATCTGTTTCCTTTGGCTCCAACCCAGTCCTCTGATAACAAGTCGAGTTAATGGCACAAATTCCCAAAATGTTTGTGATTTACAACATGTGAAAGTGTTTTTAAAAAGGTGCTCTTGGATCCACCGTCGGTACAATATTCAAAAATAATCTTTTGTGCTCTATTTTCACTTTATCCAATAAAAATTTATAGCAAGTAAAAATATTTCTTGTTAATTTTTTTTTTTTTTTTCAAATGATCATATGTTATCCAAACCAAGATTGCGGGAAAGACATTCTTTGATAGTACCACATTCAAGCAAATGGGGATTGAGACTCTTCGTGAGTTTCACATTAGGCGAGTAAGAGAGATAGATGCAAAAGAAAGAGTTGAGAATGTGGATGTACAAGAAGGTGTTGGCAGAGAAATGGAAGGGGAATAAGAGAATTTCTCACACATTATGGAGATTCAAGACTTTGATGATGTGGCTACGCGAGATGAGGGCGCATCCAGGCCTCAACGTGTCTCCTATGAGGAGTTTGACAGCCTGAGTAGGTCAGTGACGATCCTCACTACTAGTGTGGTAGGTAAGCTTGACGACATGATGGGTTTTCTCCGGACGAGATTTGGAACACCACCTCCTCCTCTGCCACCACCTTTTGACAAGGTTTATTGTCCTGATGATCCAGCTGATGATGCATTCATGGACATGGGCTTCTAGAGGGTCGTGGACCATTAGTCACAATGAGCATTGACCAGGATGTCTATAGCTTAGGACTTTATATTTAGTTTTCACTCTTAAGACTCCCAAAGTCTTTTTAAGTGTTTGGAACTATACTCTTGGAAGTCTTTGTGACTACAAAATATGTTAAGTGGTATTGTCTTTGATATAACATGAATGTTGTTCCTTTTTGATGCGTAAATGATCTTTATGTTTAATTGTTATGATCACGATGTAGATATTCTGACCTAGCACAACATCTATTGCCTGTGCTACATATGTATCATTTTTTTATGTATTGTGTTCCTTCCTTTGGCAAGTGATTGTAATCCATGCATATCTTCATTTTGATGATGTCAAAGGGGGAGAAATGTGTGTATGTGTATCAACATTCTTATCAATATTGATCTTTGTTTGATACTACACTTTTGAAGGAGAAGATATACACACATACGCAATATTTGTACTCAAAACAAACTTTTTTCAAAACATTGGGAGAAAAGCATATTTGATACGTGCATAAGTTGAGGGGGAGCCTCACTCAATGACCTCAAAATGCTTTTACATATATGTATAAAATTAGGGGGAGCGTATGCATGTTGAATGTAATGTTATTGCTTAGCATGTTGGACAGTTTATGTTTTTGAAATTGTAGATGTTTTGTCATCATCAAAAAGGGGGAGAATGTTGACTCATTGCTTATGTAAGCATGGTTTTGATGATGATCAAAACATCTACACTATGATCTAATGTGAAATCTAGATAAGTAGTTAATTGAGTGAAAGAAATGAAGAAAGGGATGTGCAAGCCCAGAACTGCAAAAGGGACAAAGTGCAGAGCTGAACCGACAGGCACTGAAGGACATCCGACATGCTGGATGTGGAACCGGCAGGCCTTGAAGATAATAGAAGTTTTGGCATGGAAGATTTAACCGGCAAACACTACAAGACAACCGGTATGCCAGATGAGAGGAATCGACATGCCGGTTTGGTGAAGAGGAATGCCAGATGGGAACTAGCAACCTCAACAACTCTCAATTTCTCCCTGCCTTGAAGGATCTGGAAACCTCTGCAGGTATCCAGCATTTTGGTTTGCCTTAACTATTGATGATCCTGTATCCGGATTGGGAATTGACATACCGGTTGAAGACCGTTAGGCACAGCAAGCAACGACTATATTTTTTGAAGTTTTTTGGATCCATGTATAAATAGGGATCTTCAATGTATTTGAAAGAACTTTTTGCAATATTGTATTGATGAGCTAGAAGCCAAAAGAGAAAGTGTTCAAAATTATTTACTTGTGTGTGTAAGCTTGTATATACATTCTTCTTGTCTTGACTTAGATTGAGATAATCTTTTTATAAAAACAAGAGAAAGTGTGATAGATTATTCTTCTTGAGTGAAGCTTACAAAGAGTGATATTTGTATTGTACCCAAGGAAAAGAGAAGTTGTAAGGGTTTGAGATCTCACCCATTGAAGACACTCAAGCAAGAGAAAGGGAATCTCTAAGGGGAGAAGGAAGAAGATGACGTAGACCAAGTGTTGGGGCCAAACCTCTATATATTCTTGTGTTTGCTTTCTCTATCTCTCTCTCTACTTTATCTTTTGTTTAGCACACACACA